CCCCAAAACCCCAAAACCCCAAAACCCCAAAACCCCAAAACCCCAAAACCCCAGAAAAGATTTTTCCGCTAGAATAATATAATTACTAAAGAAATGAACAAACTTTCCGATGTGATTACACAAATTAAAAAAGGTGATATGAAGGAGCTTGCAGGAAGAGATATCCAGCTTCAAGTCATCGAAGTATATGGAATGTCAAAGATCCACTCCCAGACAGCTTCTGAATGTTTAAACCTCACACTTTGGGACGGTGTTGACCAGATTCAGGGAAAGATCATCACTGACATTTTGAATAATATGACTCAAACAATCGAGCTTTACTCGATCATTAAATTCAATTCTTGATGCTTTCTGCAGGATAAATACACTGGGGATAAAATCTTGATGGTAGGATCTGACATAGAGATTCTTAATAATTATACGCACAGAATAGAACCTGAAGAGGAAAACAAATCTCAAAGTTCGAGGAAAAAGTCAGAAATATCAATGCGAAAATCTGAAGACTCTTTGAAACAGTATTCTTCAGTCAAAGTTTCTCAGGACATTGGTGACTTTTTAGTTGATTCTACTCCTCTTAAAGAGAATCAGCTGGAAAATGAATTTTCAGATTATGAAGGAGATGAGTCTGACCAAGACCAATATTTACCAATTTCAAAAATAAGTGTCTGCCACAATTATCAACAGACAGATTGGAAAATCAAAGCAAGAGTGGCTGATATTTTTCCCATTAAACAATTTATGAATAAATATCCCCATAAATCCAGTAGATCTACCTTTAGAGTCTTGAATATTGTGCTCTCAGATTTCTACACTGGAGATGAGATTGAGGGAACCTTCTATAACGAGCTAATAGAGCAATTCTTCAACATTGAAGATGGAGAGATATTACCTCCAGTTAACCCAGATCAACTCCAAGCTAATTGAGTCTACATCATCTCTGGCTGAAAAGTGCTTGACAGTAAGAATACCAGCACTGTCCAACATTTGAGGAAACTTAACTTCAAATCAGACTCAGTTGTAAAAAGATGGTATCCTAAAAGCAACACTCGTAAAAGAAGACTAAGCACTACCGAATTCACCTACCACGACCAACTACTCACTAAAATCAACAGCTCCATCAACATTTACGGAATTATCTCTACTATCACCAGCACCTTCCAAAAGTCTTCTTCCAAATCCTTCAGCTCAATCCTGACCCTCTACCTGCTAACCTTCAAAACTTCTGAAAGAACAGACTATGAACAAATCGTTATCAAAATTTTAGACCAGAAGGCTTCAGAGCTTAGACTTAAAGAAGGAGAAGTAATAGCAGTTTTTAACTGAAGAGTTCTGATGGCAAGCACTCCATACCTGGAAGTCCTTAGTGTCAAGGATGTTACTAGAGGAGAGGATGCTGGGTGTGTGGAGGACTTAGAGAGACTTAATGAGTTGTATGCTCAATATGTTGGTGAATGTGGTGGTGATGGGATTGGGAGTCCAGGAATAGGGGTTTCAGTAGGTGGAGTTACGAAGGAGAACTCAATGGTGAGATGTAAGGTAGATATCCCTTCTGAAAATTGTAGTCAAGATCACTTACTTTTTACTCAAAAGTGAAAGAGCTGTAATATATATCAAGATATCCAAGAAGGAAGCCTTATTCATAGAGATGAGTTTTGACAGCATTGTAAAACTGAGAGAGAATTTTCACTTGAATACAAGATCCAATGCAGCATTATTCTAGAAACTGGAGCTACTTATCGGTGAGTCATGAAGAACTTGTGAGCTCATGAGATCTTACCAAAACCAGCGTTGAAACTCTTTAACATGAATGAAGATACAAGGAGAGAAATACTAGACGCCTGAACCAAATGCTATTGAGAAATTGATGAATTTTGCAATCCTAAATGAAAGCACAATTCTTTCTGTGATGTCATCCTTGAGAATTCTTGGTCTATCAAGCAAGAAGTCCCTTGAATCTCTTATAACGAAGAGGGAGAGGATGAAATTGAGCAAGATAAAGCATGCTATGAAATTTATCAAATAATATTTTCAACTTAATTTTTATCCCTTGGGGTTTTGGGGTTTTGGGGTTTTGGGG